CTCCAGAGATGCGAAGGCCATGGATGAGACACTTGTTTTTTTTGCGTTTGAAGCTCTTGAGATCTTTTCGGGCGCCGGTTCGGCATGTTCCAAAGTGGAAAAAGAAATATGTGCCCCATTCGGCCAGGCTGTTGTCGCCCGTCGCCCGCATCTGTCCTTTCTTATCCTCAGAGCCTTCAGTCAGTACCGAGACCTTTGGACCTCGGACGGCGACCAGAAGCCACGAGAGTGGCGAAGTAGGAACACGCTAAGCCGCAAAGTATATCAAATAAGACTAGTCATGTCCAAACTCTGGGCAGCGCTTCTCCGGAGATGGAGAAAACACTGCTTGGTAGACACATGTTTAGACTTAGACGCATCTTGTCCTGGTGCTTGCAGGCGCTTCTGATGTTTGTCGATGCGCATGCTCCGGTTTGTATGCTCACTTGCAACAAACAGGAAGGGACCGATCTAGAAATCTTGCCGGTATCTTGGTGCATGGTTTAACTCAAGCATCAGTTTGTCCAAACCTCACTGGTTTTCCTCAACTTCCACTCTTGAATGTGTTCCCCAAGCTTTGTGCGCAAATAGTAAAGCACCCAATTCGGCATCCTGTCAGTCTATCGGTGTTCGCCCAGTCCGTTCACAGGATTCCGTCATATTATGAGGATGCCTAAAATCAAAAAAATGTCTATACTATTCATTACTATTCTATATGTCCGTATACAACTCTTGACGTTGTTGCTGTTGCTGTTGCAGTTGCTGTTGCTGCTGTTGCTGCTGTTGCTGCTGCTGTTGTTGTTGTTCCTCCTTATGGTCTTACAGTGCTTTCACTGACTGCAACATGTGCAGTATACAGTGCACTTCATGCATGTGGTGCTTGGGACCTGGCACACATTCGAAGCATGGAAATTAATTCCAATTCATTCCATCCATTCGAAGCCCATGCAATAGCAACTCGCCAAACATCATCCCCTCTTCTCTTGTCCATAGAGATCACATGTGCAGGTCTGTCTGCGGGAAGGTGTTTGAGGCTCCCTGTTTTTGTTTGTTTTCGTTATATATCGTTTTCGTGCCGCTGCCTAGTGCAACACCGTTTACCCAGCAACGAGTCTTTGGTCCATACTCAACACACTGAACCCTTGTGCAAACATCCCTCGTCCTTTTCATCCAAACAGATTGTTCATCCCTTGGTTATGGGTTTTGTCTTCCGTATCGGTTTACAGTGGATTGAGCACGCTTCTGGCAAAGCAAACAAGCAAAAAAATCCTTCCTACGTGTTTTTCTTTTCATATTATGGCGATGGCGATGACGGGTCTGTATTCGTTTCATTTCATTCCGATACAGGTCCCTGGGATTCTGATTCTGTGACAGTTGTACACGTGACTAACTCTCAGTATGGCTCAAAATAGTTCAGCCTAAACTTTGACTTTGACGTTCTCTGCGATCAAACTGATCTTCAACCGAACAATGCGTGCGGAAAAGTGTACAATATATGTTCAACAGGCATGTGTTTATACTGGATCACCCCCTCTTTCTTTTCTTGACGAACTTTTTCGGAAAACACATGAAAACACCAAAGGAGCGCAGAAAAGGGGGGTGGCGAACGACCTCTGTGTGTGTGTTGTTGTGCATTGTGCATTGGAACCACCGAAACGGGAGTCGAACCACCGAAAGCTTCCGGTCCCATGTGCTCCGGCCCCCACTTCGGCCATCCACCGAGGGCTCCGTGGAGCGGGAGTCCTCACGGTCGACACCGTAACTCGTCGGACCGAAGGCTGGGGTCCTTCGGGTGTTGATATGAAGAATCCAAGGAGTCCAACGAAATGTGCCACAAAAATGGGGTTGTCTCAATGCCAGCCAGTCGCACAAGTCACCTGGAGCATGCTAGTGGCCATGACTCAGTTTCTCATGGTTCAATTCTGTTCAAATGTTTTACAGCAAAAGGCTTTTCCACCCGAACCCGAACCCTTGAGCTTCAGTGCCTGCCATCCAACCCCGCCACGACACGGCCTTGAGTGCAGCCCTTCCACACGGTCACCACCTCCGCACGGCCACCTCAGCCTGGGCCTCCGCACTCTGGACCCTGGAATTTGCAGCTGAGCCTGACAGCAAGAGTCAGGATTCACAACTATAAGGAATTTACAGTATCTTCCCATCACACCATGGATCTTTGGGAGAGCTGAGAGATCTCTCAAACGCTTTTAATATAGCCACATCGCACACCTAGTGCAAGAAGCTCTGGCTTCTTCTGCTCCATCCCAGCTAGAAACAACTTGCCTTGGCAGGAGGTGGTGTGGATGGTGCCGCAGCAGCCGGTGCTGCTGCGGAAGGTGCTGCCATCCTTGGTCGATGTATAGAACGATGCCTCTTGAGCGATGGGTGGAACTTCCAGGAACCCCCAAGTGAATCAGCCAAAGCCTTCCTGAAAAATGGGCCCACGCACCCTGTTGAAGAGTAGACCCAGTGCACCGCCATGTCCTTCCGAGGCCCCCACAGAGCTGTGTCCAAGGATTCGGACAACTGCACCAATCCCGTCTTGATCCGAAAAGAAACAGCATGAAGGTCTGGCCAAAACACACTCCACCCGAAGAGCAGAACCCGCGATCCGCGAGCTGAATTTTGCCTGCACCTAATCACAACCGAGCAACAAGGTGCAGCGAGTGTCCTGTATAAAATTGCACAATCCTCACTCACACTGAAACGTAATAATTGCAAACAAAAGCACACACAAATCAAACAATCCCCACACTCAAACACACACGCAAACGCTTTTTGTTGACCTGCCGTCCCTTCCCTCCCCCGAGCTACTGCACCATCCTCCCAAACCATGTCACTGCCCCGTGCCGTGCCCGGTCTCTTCGCTGCCGTCGGTGTATGTGCTGACCCGTAAAAAAACCGAGCAAGTCCGACAGCTGTGCGTCAGAAGCTGAAAAAAACGGGGCAAAAAAACAAACGTAATGTGTTCCCACCGTTCCCACCCGCCTGTTGGACACCACGAAATGTATGACCCTATGACCCTATGACCCCATGCCCGGCCACCCGCTGCAGCACATTCCGGCGATCAGATTTGCGTTGACGACATATTTTGACAATGCCTTCAGGTCTTGGTCTGTGTTCCTTCTTCCAGGTGTTTCGCGTGGGTTTGGATGGCACTATTTGAACCATACTTGTTTGTCGACAAATCTCAACCCCGGGCGCCAGCGCAACACTCACATGACATCTGCTCAATGAATGAAATGCATTCACCCTGATGGGTGCACGAATGATTTTGTTGACCCGCCGACAAGCTGCATGCCAGACCTAAAATATGCTCTTACATTGTTCGGCAAATGAATGTATTTGTTGGCCCGCCCTACCCCTCCCCGTGCGCAACGATGCTCATGACCCATGCTCAACCTTGCTACATGAATGCTGTTGACCTGCTGCACGCAAGACTTGGATGGATGACTGACTGACGACTGGTTTTGTTGACCCTGCCTACCTTCGAAGAACAGGGCTACTCATGGGAGGTCCACTCATGAACACTGTGTCTGGCGCCAATCACCGAAAACTACTCCAAGCTACTGCAAGCATCTGACTGTGCTATAAACAAGTTCGATGAAAGAAAGGGTAGGAAAAGGTAGATGATAAATGCTGGCAGGTCGTTACATCTACCTTCCTTCATGAGTCCTTAGTAATGAGACAGCTTGTCCATAGCAAAAAAGAACTCGACGCCATGCCATGCTTCTTCCATCCGTTTCTCCCCAAAGGGACCACGAACTTCCTTCACAATAAGCTCCTTCTCACGAAAATAGTCCGTTGTCTCTCTTCAAAAAGAACACTTGCAAAAAGGAATTTCACTCCGTCTGAGATTTCTGGGAGGTCGCACCTCCCAACACACCGATGGCAAATGTCCTCATGTGTTTCTGACCTTTGAGAAGGTGCGCATTAACTTCCAAGGTGAGACCCAAGGCCCAGGTCACGGGCTCTGCAGGGCACCGCAGGGCTCCGCAGGCTTCGAATACAAGGAACAAAACGAACAAAAAAACATCCCGCTTCACACCAAAAGGGGTGATGATGGGTGATGGATGATGTTTCTAAAGAACATCACCCGACCTGTGGTCTGATCTTTCAGGCAAAAACATTTGGTTCTTCTGCTCATAATGTCAAGTCCCTGACAAGGTTCTAGTCTCAGGCTCTACGTCTCAAGGAATCCCTTCGGAAGCAAATGAAATGCCCCAAAGCCCGTGACTCCAGGCGGCCCGTTCTTCGCGGCCCGTTACAGCCTCGCTCAGTAAGGGCCAGGCCTGGCTGCCGTGTTAGGAAGGTATCAAGCATTTCATTTTGACCTTCTACCCAGCTTCTATAGATTTACCATGATTTGCTCGTTTATTTTTGTATCTGAATGCCCTCGCATAACACTGTAAACCGCAAAATCACCCTTCACTGTGCCTCTGCATTTGCTGCTGGATGGCGCCATATGCAGCCTTCCAAAGCCAACTGTCAACGGTCTTCCAATAATGGTCTTCCTGCGTGGGATTTCTAGTTATGCCTCATTCCTTGGCCATAAGTGCTAAGCTCCAGAATCCTCCTCCCCCAGTTCCTAGCTCCCTCCGACAACCGGCATCGACTGTTTGCCAGGACTCTGGGAACGTTTGTTTTGTCCAGCTGGGTGTGTCTCCATTTTGGACCCCAAGCAGCAGTTGTTTCACACTCCGATCCCCGAACCACGTGAGCGGAACTGGATTTCTACAATCCATGAGTGTAGCGCCTTTTCTTTGCATCCGTTTACTAAGTTTCATGCAGCATGCATTTATCAATTTTGAAAAAGGAAACATGTTTTTGTTAGTATTGAATCGATGATCCCACTGAATAAGTTAAATGAAAATAGTTTACCCGCCAATTTCACGTGCAATCATCTGTCACTAATTGCCAATTGCTACCACTTGTGCGATCTGCAGAACTTTAGTGGGTTCTATTTCTGCCCCAGTTTCCCGCTGCAAATTATTGCGATGTCAATTGCCTGCCCGGCCTGCCCAGCAAGTTGTTGACCACCTGAATCCGATTTGTTGCACCGACCCACCCCCCCCCCCGAAATGGTGTCGAATCCGACCACTCTGTTCTGGACGCTACTTGATCCTGCCGAAAACGCCAACTCTACAAACCGTACCGGGCTCGCTGCTTGGGTCCACGCCGAAGCCACCGCAGCCTGCGCAGCCTGAGCTGGTTGGACCCATGCAACAAACAAGCCATGAATCATGACTGAACAACAAATCCCTGCCTTGCGCCTGCTGGAATTGGGCCTCAGGTGCAACACTCACTGACCACCGGTGTCCAAACTCAACATGGCCTCGCTTGATCAACCTCTTTGCAATTCGGGACGCTCTTCCGCATGCGAAACCAGGGCATGTCGGACGTCAAATGTACACCATCACTGATGGCTGCGGTTACAAGGGTGGCTGAGCATTTGCCGCCACCATGGCTGGCCAGGTCACTGATCTCACATGCAACAACCAGAGCAATGACTTTCAACCAGCTGCCACGGCTGGTTTTAAACCAAGACCGTGGAAAACAAATGAGATGACACATCTTTGTATGCCAAGCCTATCGGAAAATGGTCAAAATTGACTGTTCTTTTGGCTTGTCGGACATTTCGACTGCCCCTCGTCACGGGGCCAGTCACATGCAGCTGCTCACACAATGGCTTTTCTGAAAAGGCCACTCCCTAGGTCTTCCTCCGATGTGAACCAGGACGCACGCCCATAGGCACCTTCAAATTTGGCCTGACAATCAATGACCAAAAGAATTGGCCTACTACAATACTGTAAAGGTTCGTAGCCCCGAAAACATCCCACGAAACCAGTCCCCAGGCAACACATTCGCAGGTAAAGCTCTCAGATTCAAGGATGTAGAGTCTAGTGGAGCAGTTTCACAAGTGTTTCTTGGAAAATGCTTGCATCGAACCGCACGTTCCGTATGTCGCCATCGGACACTTCCAAATGATGCTTTTTTGAGTATTTAATAATCCAGGTCCAGTGCATCACCCTGTATTTGGACAAAGGATTTGCAGAATCAAGGATAATTACAGTAATGTTACAGTAATTACACAAATCTCGCGCCCCAACACCGTTGCCGAAAACTGCTGTTTGCCGTTTGCCTTTTTATTTGGGACCCTTGTCTTGAACCCGGCAATGCATATCAGCAGTGTTCTTTTTTGCCAAAGCATCCAGGCCACCGCCGTTCTTCGACTGTCCTTCGCCTGTCATCCTTCCCCCTCGCGGCCCTGGCAACCGCCTTGAAGGTCTCATTGCAGGTCTTGTCGTTGGAGAAATCCAAATCGTGCCCGAAGACCACGGTGTCGATCACCGACTTCAGCAGCGGCGCATGGAACTTCTCCCTGCGACCAAAATAGGAGACTGTATAGCGAAAACAAGTTGCAAACAAAGACCCACCATGAACCCCACCATTGATCGGATGTCCAGACTTCTGCCCACCCCTTTGAGGGGTAAAGGTGCTCCTGAAATCTCCGACCGCCTTAGATCATTGGAGTGTGTGGTTGGCTAGCACATGCGTCCCCATTGTCATTGTCCTTGTCAAGGTTCAAACCTATAAGGGATCTGTTTGCAGCTGTCCAAGTGCACTCTTGAGACTTTCATATTGGGCATTGGAAGCTGAATAGAATAGGTATTGTTTGTTGGTATGCACCCCCAATTCCTGAAGGACAGCAAGGCACTCATGTGAAGAGCAAAAGGATCAGCACCGTATGCGTTTGCTCAATGGTTCTGACATGGGCAGCAAAGCGGCATCAGAAACTCTTTGAAGTCAATCCACTGTCGGTTCTGCTTGCGTTGGCCCTTGCACCAAAAAACGCTAGAGACGCTCGTGATGGCTTCAAGCGGCTGTGCATGGCTGTGCCAAGCAGTTGAGTCGACGTCAAGGCTTCTGTGTTCCCACGGAACCCATTTTGTGCGTTTGGGAGGCTATGGCGGGAGTGGCTCCCCAGTGTCATCTGGCGAGGTTGAGCATTGCAAACGGTTGTGTGCGGTGCGGTTTATATTGTTGACATGACAAGCACCAACCCCAATGCGCAGCAAAATGTGCAATTGTGGGCAGTGAGTTGGCGTATACAGTGTTGAGTGGATGTCGTTTTGGCGGCGTGCACGCGACCACAGATTCTAGGGGTCTTGTGCTCTAATTTAGGAACAGGTCCACCTGGCTGATATTTGCCGCGGCTGCTATTTACAGCTTCTTGAGTATCGCACATCTGCAGGACGCCAATGAACAAAGCTGCAAAGCAATCAAATCTCGCCATGTCCTGACCGGCTGCAGCATGCGGCAACCACAAACTCAAATTTAGACCACGCACCATGACCATAGGCGGCCAAGTTTCAACCCAAGGAACCAGTGTGCACCAGCGACAAGCATGTGTCTGGGAAGTGCATTGGCGCACACGGAGAACAAAGCATTGAGTTCTCCCTAGCTTGTGGCTGGCAACATGTCCGAGGGCACGTATGGGCATGCAGACCATGCGCCCCTAGCCAGATCTGAATCAAACGGCCTATGCACTAGCCTGGCCTGGCAGCCCCGCAATGACAGCGAAAAATATTAGTGCTGCCACCGACGCAGAGGTCCGGCTGTGGCTGTAGCATGCATGTGGCGGATGCGCACTGGGCCAAAGTGAGGTGCTAATTTTTCTGTATATACTGGTGTACATGTGGAAATATATGAATTTAGTAGTATACGAGCATGTGTATATATTTTTTAAGATAGTTATTGATATTGAGTTAACCCTTCCTTAGTTAAAGAATTATGCATATGGATATGTATATAAATAAACATGAAATAGTTCCTTTTCCATAAGCACGTGAATTACAAAAAACGTCGATGGATTTGCTCACTCCTCTGCTGCTACAAGCGCTTCTTCCCCTTGCTTTGAAAAAGCCAACCAGCACAGGAAAAGGAGAAATGGAACAAAGGCTTAAACCTGCGGAAGCGAGACAGCCAGCTGAGAAGCCAGAATAATTAACGAACAACAAACCAAGCATAAACAAAAGGCAGGGAAAGCCAGACAAGCCGAGAAAAACAGGAAGGAAACAAGCAACAAAAGCAGGGCAGCGGAGGAGCGTGCAACACCCGAGCGTGTGAAAGCAATGAAAGTAACGATTCTCCAAAGGGCTACATCAAGAAGTGTCCTGGTGTCCTCCTGGTGTCCTGGTGTCCTCCTGTGTCCTCCACGTAGCTCATCTTCCAGTGTCCGATCCTGTTGTTGTTTGCTGGCCAGGCAAATGAACCCTTGTCCGCACTCTTGTACTCTTTTTGTCGTCCTTTTGTCCTCTTCTTGGTTGTCCTCCTGCTGTCCTCTCGCCATCTGAGCAGTGTTTTTTTGGTGACTAATTACGGGGCCTATACACTGGAGGCATACCTTCGCAGCTGCCTTCCCAAGCCTTCCCGAACCTTTTGGGAACAAAACAGGATTGCTTGAGGTGGGGCATACGCAGTTTAGCTTCGCATGCCTTCGTGCGTGCACAAAATTGTGAGAATTGCCTTCGCCGGCTGCGATGCAGTTCCACTTTCACACAAACCTTTATATACATGCCAATTACTGTACACCCCAAAAAGAAGAAACAACGTTGCTCATCTGTCCTGCTGTTGTCTGGATGGTGTGTTCCTGGTGCCCTCTTGGTGTCCTACTCATAGCTTGTTCCCCACATTGACGTGTGGGGTTTTTGTTATTAGTGTTGTATCCCGCCCTCCTCCTTCTCCCGCCCTCCGCCTCCCACCAAGCAATTGCCACGAACAACTGCCACCCACAATTGTCATGAACCAATTTTCAACAACCAATTGTCAACAACCAGTTGTCAACAACCAATTGTCATCAACCGATCGTCACCAACCAATTGTCACCAACCAATTGTCAACAACCAATTGCCACCAACCAATTGTCACCTACCAATTGTCATCCACCAATTGTCACCAACCAATTGTCATCAACCAATTGTCAACCAACTGTCACCAACCAGTTACCAGTTGTCGTCGACAAATTGTCACCCACCAATTGCCACCAACCAATTGCTACCCACCAATTGTTACCAACCAATTGTCACCAACTAAGTGTCACCAACCAATTGTCACTAACCAATTGTCCACCAGCTAATTGTCTTCTCCAGCAATTCGGGTGTACGCCCTGGTGCTGGCTGGTGCTGGACGGTGCTTGTGGGTCTCCGCCGCTGCGCCGCTGTGATTTGCGTGCGAATCGTCTTCTCCACAGGTCGGAGTCCCTTCCTCTCCCTCCTCCCGACCGCTTCTCCTACACCCACCTATTTACATACGCACGCGGACACGACAACCCGTAAGACAACCACCAAACGACAATCGCCACCCCCATCCACTTCCAAACGACAACCACCAACCAACACCACTCCCCTCCTCCCGACCGCTTCTCCTGCGTTAAGTTGTTAACATGTGGGGTCATCCGGTCCTATAATTTTCCTGGTGTCCTGCTGTTGCCCCCTGGCCGCAAGCGAATCCTGTGTCCGCCTGCTGTTCTCTTCTTGTTTTCCAAGCAGTTTACTAGTTTACTGTGGGGTTCTGTTTTGGAAGTAACTGTAAACGGGCCGCGCTGGTGCTGTGCCCGAAACCCTCCGCACCTTCTCCTGTTGTCCTCCTGTCTTGCTGTCGGCAGGGTCGGGCTGCGGGTTGGGTTGGGGAGCTGGCCAACAACAACAATTCTTGCTGACTAAACTGCTTGGGGTCTATGCTGATGTTTTTCTCTATGAGTAAGCCAGAGACACAAATCCAACCACTTTCATGCAAGAAGCGCCTGCCCCGGTCCAGATCAGTCAATCGTCGAGGACGACTTGCCTCCAGACAGCCATCCTGAGATATGTCCAGGCAGTTATCTCAGAAAAGCACAGAAAAGCATGGAGACAGCACACCTCCCGTATGATGTTGACTGCAGATTCATAGCCCCATTGAATTATAGAGATGTTTTGCAAATCTCTAGGGTCTTAGATGGTGGGTTTGTTCGTCTGCTTGCCTTTTGCTCGTTATCTTGTTTGATTTGCTTGCCTGGCTGCCTGTCTGTCTTTTTGTCTCGCTTGTCTAAGTCTCGTGTAGGCCTGTCTATTCATCAGTCAACATTATATACTATGCCCTTTGTTCCTAGTAGAGATGCCAGGAGCTACTAGTAGCTTCTTGCTCCTAGTAGCCATGCCCTTTGTTCCTAGTAGCGGTGCCCTTGTTACTGTAGTTACAGGCAAACGACCGAGATACACCAACAAGTCGCACCTGTTTATGTTGAGCCAAACGGTAGGTAAGTGAGACATGTATTGGACATACTAGCGTGAAACAACACCCCCCGCTGAACGAAAATGGGAGGAGTGAAGTTATGTACAGTGCACTAATTAAGGACCTACGAAGGTATCCGGTCCCCCGGTACGTGCGAAGCATCGAACCGGATCGTGCCTTGAGATGGAGAGGATGGTTGACCTCAAGGACGAATCAAATAAAGCACTGTCATGTTTTGATGCTAGTGTTGAACATGTCTGCAACAAGTCCATGCATGAAAGCTCAATGCATGATGTCAAATATGACTCTTTTGGCGCAGCGGAACAGGAAGTGCAACGCCAACCTTTTAGAAAGCAGGAACAAAGCCGTCATGGCACAAGCTTGCAAGAAGCTTTGCGTCGAGGGTTGCAAACCCCTCTGAATCGTCCAGGGCATCGATGGTTTGGGAATCCTTGTATACTTTCCCAACCCATGTCCTGGCTTCATCTGGCTTTGCTGAAGCTGCAGCGATGTTGTCCCTCACCTTGATCTTCCAATCTCTGTACTTCTCAGGTGTGGGGAACTTGGGGATGAGAACCTTATCAGCCTCTTTGGCCTTGTTCTCACGATCCCTGTCTTTTGACTTTCTCTGCGGCTTCTTCAGTTCCTTGCGGATGATGCGTGCAAGACGCGACGATTCAGAGCTCGAGTCGTTGGAGCTATCACTTCCGCTCGATGAGCTAGGTGATGAAGGTGATGGAGAAGGAGAGCGCTTCTTCCTGCGTTCTCTAGCGGCCCCTCTTTGGACTCTTCTCTTTCTTCTTCTCTTTTCCTTTCTTCTTCTTGTCTTTCTTGGACTTATCATCACCTTCTTCATCAGCATCGGATGGATGAGGTTCGTCACCGCCTTCGTTCCCGGGCTTCTCCAACTGAGTGCGAAGGCTCGCCGGAGGCAAAGCTGGGGATCCTTGGGACGCAGGTGGCTGCACTGACGGTACAGGCACTCGGTTCCCCGAGGCGTTATCGAATCTCTCTCGCAAATCCTTGATGATTCGACTCTGTTCGGCTAACTCCGACCGAAGTGCATCCTCTCTTTGCTTGGCAGAGGCGCGTTCGTTCTCGATGACGGCGTGTCTCTCGAGCGAAATCCGATCTAGGTAAGCCCTTTGTTCATGGAGTTGTTGGTTCTGATGGGCTTGGTTCATGTCACTTAAACGTTGATTGGCAAAAGCCTCAAGATGTTCCCTAGACTCCTGGATAGCCACTCTAGCTTGGTTCTCCACCATGTCTCTATATTGCCTAGCATCATCTGCAGCTTGTTGCCCGTGCTCGGCCAAAATGGCCCGATGTCGCAACTCCGCAATCTGAGCTACCTGAGCTGACCTATCTTCATTGACGAAGACAGCTTGTTGATGAATCTGTCTCGCATCAACGTTCTGGACATTCATCACAGGAGAAAACTCAGGTTGGAAAGGCGACGGAGCTTGAACACTAGGCATCAGGTCCCCCTGTGCACTGAACGTCGGTGGCACATTTGGCACACGCAAATCCAGCGGAACAACAGGGAGCTCCAGAGCAGGTGAACTAGACATAGCAGGCGAGGTAGGAACGTAGCCTGAACGTGAGCGGTCACCACGGGAACCTTCATCATCAGCCATGGCCTCTAGACAGTGCACTATCTAGGGTGGGGTGAGACCAAAGCTAGTAGCAAGCACGTACCGCACTTATGGCGATACGGCTGATAACCTGTAACAGGCAAACGACCGAGATACACCAACAAGTCGCACCTGTTTATCTTGAGCCAAACGGTAGGTAAGTGAGACATGTATTGGACATACTAGCGTGAAACAACAGTTACTAGTCATAAGAAGAGAATTCATCTCTGAGACCTCATCCATTCGCCAAGAATCTCTGGTCTTCAGCATTGCCTCTGGGACCTCCACAGGTTCGGCCCCCCAGCGGGTTTCAGCTATGGCGCGCCTCGCAGAAAACGTGCACAAGCTGCACAAATGCACAGCTTGTCGTGTTCACTTCTACCTTCGACCCAAACACCGAAGGTAGAAAGCTGAGCAAACCGGTCTCCACTTCCGATTCCAAGTGGCCGAAACCTGCCATATCTGTACAGCCTGGGCTGCTTCTCCAAAGGTCTGACATGCTCACAGATATTCATGACAACAAGGACACATGATCCCAGTGCCGTGAATGAACAGGGATAAAGGCTACGCAAAAAGACTACACTCCAGCAAGCTCATGAATGGCATGCGAAAGGAGGATGCGAAGTTGAGCCCCCAGGAATGCAAGGGACAGTTTCCTTTGAACATATTCGGAGCAGCTTCTCCATTGGTTACTCTGGCGTCAAGGTAGATGCCTTTCTCAACACGGAGGCAACCCCCTGAATGATAACAATAGTCAGGTCTAATGAACCAAGGATGCGCCTCAAAGTTTGTCCAGAAAAAGACACTTCCGCGCATGAATTAGATTATTGAAGTTACAGACTGAATGTTTGAGATGTCATTTCGTGTGGACTCAACTGGCGTTGCCTTCTGGCCGGGCTGTGCTCTTTGACTCTTGTTTCTTTGTGTTTTATTGTTGATCTCAGCATAGTCCTTCCTAGTTGGCAGCCAGACGCTGGACACCCTTTCTGAAATGATGTGTTGCTTCTATTCTCGTGTTGGCTTGGTTTGCCGGTGATTTTGCTAGCGCTCTAACCGGTTGCCTTCAGTCAAGCATCAAGTTCAATCGTGCACAAAGGAACTCAATACAAATCATTGCAGCTTATACGAATCCACCATCCCGCAAAGAACCAATACCGCACAAAACAAAAACCAAGAATTATGATGATTGTCTTGATGCTGTCCGGACCTAGCCTTTCAAATGAAATGTGTTCAATGCAATGGATGTTTGGTGATGGTTTAGTTTTACTTGTCTGTTTCGCCGGCTGGCCCGAGCTCTCCTTTTGACAAACTATGAGTCATATCATATAACTATGAGTATGACTGACAAAAAGACAAACAAAAATGCCAATATAGGCCAATCATGGCCAATTATGAACACAAGATGGTTTGACACCACCAAAAAAACATAAAACACATCTAAATGAACGAGTTCAGCTCCTGACGTAGCAAAGGTGATGATTAGCAGTTTGCCAACTTATTGTGGCCTACGGGCATGGGACGTTGCAGAGGTCACCCATCCTACGCTTCTTCCCAAGTGTTCAAGCTCTTCGGGCAGGCAACGGCAGCCGCTCATGCTCGATTTTGGGCGGGCGGGAGGCCCAGGTGTTGTCCACCAAGCGCTGGCGGAAGATGAAGTTGTCCTGGGAAGGCAGGCGGTACGGAGTTGAAGCGTAAGGAGGCATTTGGAGAGGTGAAGCGCTACAAACCATGACACCCTCCTGTTCAAAGACCCTGTGAGGGAAAACCATTCCTGATGCCAAAAGCTGGCGACTATTTCCTGGCCAAGATTCGTGCAGGCTCCCACAGCCTTGGGCGACAGTTTGCTTTCATGGGTCTGATCGTTGTTTCTACTAGGTGAGGCTCTTTCTCATGATCAAGTCCACTGTTAATGGAATCCAGCTGCACGTCTTGCAAACTAGTTCTGCTCCAAGCTACCAATTGGTGCCGAGATGGCTGCTCCTAAAGGACCTCTAGAAGCCTGCAGCCACCTTGAGGCATTCAGCAATGTACCTGAGCTCAGCTACGCACTGGGAATTCTGATAGGAATATGCAAGTTCCCATCAAAAAAAATTATCCCGGCAAGAAACCCCAAACAGTGTGTGAGGTCTGTAAGCAGAAAGTCTAGAGATCTAGACGCATTGGGGTCCAGAGAGGTGATAGTGGTGATGAAGTGAAGGTGAGTGTGAGTGAGTGTGGGTGAGAGGGAGCGTGCGTGTGAGTGAGAGTGGGTGAGAGTGAGTGTAAGTGAGCGTGAGTGAGAGTGAAGGTGGGTGTTAGTGAGTGTGGGTGAGAGTGAGAGAGTGTGTGTGTGTGTGAGAGTGGGAGAGTGAGTGTGAGTGAGTGCGAGCGTGAGTGAGAGTGAGAGTGAGAGTGAGTGTGAGTGAGCGTGAGTGAGAGTGAAGGTGGGTGTTGGTGAGTGTGGGAGAGAGTGAGTGCGAGTGAGAGTGGGAGAGTGAATGAGAGTGAGTGGGGAGAGTGAAGGCGGGCGCGAGTGAGTGTGGGTGAGAGTGAGTGAGTGCGAGTGTGAGTGAGAGTGAGAGTGAGAGTGAGAGTGAATGTGAGAGTGAGTGTGGGTGGGTGAGTGTGCGTGTGACAGTGAGCATCTGAGAGCACAAAGTACTGCGCCTGCCACGAAATCTGCACATCGACGCTCACCAAGTAAGTGCTGCACCGGCCACGAAATCTGCACTTCGAGGTTCACCAAGTGCTGTGCCTGCCACGAAATCTGCACTTCGAGGTTCACCAAGTGCTGCGCCTGTCACGAAATCTGCACTTCAAGGTTCACCAAGTGCTGTGCCTGCCACGAAATCTGCACTTCGAGGTTCACCAAGTGCTGCGCCTG